GACAACAGGAAGTCGAGGACAGCTGACGAGGAAAAGAGGAGAAAAGGAGTCGTACCAACACTGAGAGTGTCGATTAGGTGAGAAAACGATGTTGTGGCACCGTCAATCATCTCAGCTTCGTGTTCGGGGGGGGGATCCTGAGCTGCTGTGAAAAAATGTGGTGAAAGTTGGCAAGTCGGCAAAATCACACGGATAACAAAAAACACTTTTAAGCTGAAGCTACTTTATTACAGTTTTTTCCCGCTCTCTCTGGCTGCTTCAGAATTTTTCGGAAAGTAAATAACGTGTGTGTATTGTTTAGTCCTGTGTAGTTACTGTAGGTCAGCGACTGTCAGAGTTGATCATACATTCCACACAATCTACACACATAAAACTGAAGCGTGGCTCTTACTTAAATATGATATCTGACACATTTTTATTTATCTTATCACTTTGGAGTTGAACAGATTGTCACAGCCACTTTGAACGTGCGCGAACAGATTGTGCTTTGAAAAAGGAGCGGCTGCCTCCAGCAACGTCTCACGTCTGCATCCCATCTCTGTCTGAAAAACAGCTCTAACATCTTTACATTATACATTTTCAAAAACATATCCATTATTCATACCCACATATTTTAATACTATTAGCATTTCTATGCCACCCACCTAAATACCTGTGTGTTTCTTATCACAGGAGCAGTGACTTTGTGTGTGTGTGAGGAGCTGGGTTGGGATTGAGAGAGCACTGCAGTGGTGGACCTCCTCGTGAAATTAAACTCCATGTGTGAGGTGTGGATATCTGAACGCTTTAAAAACATTAGCATGAACAGGCACAAGAGAAACTTTGCTTTCACTTCTCAGTGGTGGGTTTGTGTTGACAGGCTACAAAGGCAACCACACACACACACACACACACACACACACACACACACACACACACACACAAACACACAAGCTGCTCCACCTGTGTGGGTGGGAGGTGTGGCCACTCAGCAGCTGAGTGGGGCAGCATATGGAGTTTCTAATTGGGTAGAACATCACAGCTGGAGGACACTAGTCCAGGACCTGGCCTCTGGTAATCAGTCCCACAATCCTCAGCTCTCCTCCTCGCATCCGCCACCGTGCTGCACGTGAGCCGTCTGTGGGCGAAGGCCGTTGGATGAGTCCTCACGTCTCAACCAAACGGCACCGGATTGAGACTAAAAGGGTTTCACAACATGTTCCCCCTTTTGAATCCAGGTTTTATTTAAAGCACCAGTCTGGACGTCGACAACGTGGATCCGATTATTTATACGAAATGATTCTGAAAAAGTATCTAGATCAGTCTCACTTTACTTTAAGTCTCCTAGTTTAGGCACAAACTAAATTCAATTAATATTCCATGGAGGCAAAGCTGCTTATATGTTGTTGCATGTGTAATAAGAGTTGAATATTATACTGTGATATATGTTAAGAGTTTAACACTCACCTGAGCCATTTTATGCATTATGAGTATGTTTAATTTTGGGTATTTAAGTACATTAGTTCTTATGTACTTTTACTGATGTGACAACTGCAGTACTGAGCTTTTACTCATAATCTATGACAAATAAAAACAAATGTAAAAAAAACAACTGATTAGCAGTAAAGACGAGTTAAAAAAGAGAGGGTTGGTAATCTGTGTGTTTTGTATAAAAGACTGATGCTTGGTTTTGGGCAGGAGTGCGAGCGAATACACTCGAGGTGTCGCGAAAGAGCAAATTGCCAGAGATCTGGGAACGTTTCATCATAAACAAGACAATAAATCTGCAAACAGCAGGTTTATGGTGTGAGAGCAAGAATCTGACATTGTTTAACAGCCGCAACCGAGGTACTCATCAGGGCATTAGCCATCAACAAGTACTCAAACTGAAATGCTTGCAGTTGTATTTGGGGCCGTCTAAACACTTCCTCTTTTAGATTTTGTGTTTTGGGTTCAGTTATTTGTTCGTGCACTTCAGTGTAAAGCAACGCAAAATAAATAGCGAGAGTTGTTAGATTGTTGAGAAAGTGGAAATTAACACTTCAGTCCTCATTACAGAGTCAGTGTCAGGATGCAAAAAAAATACATTCTTCGCCTTCCAGTTTATTTTTGGAGACTTCCTTTGCTTCACAGGGTTTTACCAGAGGAACGACCTGAAGGTATAACTCCAAAGATAGGTGGGGAATTGAATTTTTGGGACAGATCTGTGTCATATTCTGCCATCACCGTCCTCTCCACCACTTCACCTTACGCTCGTCACCCAGACACAGACTCCCTTTAAATGCTGACATCAATTGAGAAACGTTTGCAGCTCAGCATGCGATCGGCGGCGCCTTCATTTGCAGCTCCACACCACGCTTCGTGTCTATAAAAGCTGATAATGTGATAATTAAAGGAGCTGACAGGCAAGAAGTCAGCGAGAAGCCTGATTTACCAACCCCTGCTATTTGTTATAACCTCTCAAATTACAAGGCTTCCACCCTTAGAGTACGGAACATAAAATATCATCTGAAATAATTAACTGGCCTGGAATTGTTGTGGAGTGAGAAAAAAAAAACAAAACAAGAAAAGTTAAGGCGTCTCAAAGGAGGAGCCCTGAGTCCTGGGAACACGGCAGCTTCAGATTCAGACCTGAAACAAGGATCTGCAGCAGACAAAAGATCACTGCCACCTCTCTCTCTCTCCCTCTCTTGCTCTTTCGCTCTTTCTCTCTCAACCACACCATGATTTATTACCTGAAAAGACAAGAGAACTAATTAGTGGAGTAATTAATTAATATAAATTTGCATATTTGCATTTGCAATTAGTGCAGTCAACTGATTAGTCTGAGATGGGGAGTTTGACTCATCAGATGCAAGTGTGTGTGTGAGTGTGTGTGTGTGTGTGTGTGTGTGGGTGCTCGACCAGAACCATCAGCAGACCAGCTGAGGCATTTTCTTTTGGAGGGGGGGGGGGCTGTAATGAAAGGATTGTTTTTGTTTTTTTTTCTTTTTGTTATTTTGGTGTGTTCATGTACAGTAGGTGTTTGTCCACTCACACACACACACACACACACACACACACACACACACACAGACCACTGTGCACACGCTGTCATTGTCTCTGTGTCATCTGCTACTTTACCTTCACATGGTCATTGACACTCTTAGGTGTAATCAACGTGCTGAGACCCTCTGCACACACACACACACACACACACACACACACACACACACACTGCTGATCGATGTCTTGTAATGTCCAATACAGAATGATAAGTCGCTTTAATTGATTCTCCTTGCAACAAGGTCATTCACAGGCACACGTTTGTGTGTGTGTGCACTTGTGTGTGCGTTCCACATAACTGAGGAGGGCATATACCCATATCGAGTGCCAGCTGTGCCCCAGTGTGGATTTGGCAGCGTGCCACTGGGCCTTTTCCACGGGGTGTACTTAATATCTACGGTCCTGAGGTACCAACACTGTGCACACGCCCCTCTGGTATGCCCATCCTCTGCATGCAAAACGCCTGGTGGAATTTCTTCGTCTATTGTATGTGGTGCTGAGACGATCAGTCGATCGATCGATGAGAAAATCAATCAGTGAGTTTAAGATAATAGACGTGAGTGATACAAATGTCAGATTTCAATGATTCACTGGTTTTTCTCTGTTTGTTATTTCATTGTAAACTCTGTGAGACTGTTTCTAAAATAAACAGAACATATTCTTTGCACCTTCCCTTCAGATCAACTCATAGAAAGGTTTTTCAGGATGTGGTCATCAGGGGCCATTTGTATGTGTGTGCTGCTCAAATCTCTTCAGAATCATGAAACTGTTTGGCCATACAATGCTGTTTAAGGTTCAGGGAAAGATGCTGGTTTGTGTTAAGATAAGATTTTAGTCAATATAATCATTAGGTGCTGCTATAGATATCCTTTGTCACTTGCACATTTGCTAATCTCATTAAAGGACCTTTGCTGATAGTTTCATTTTTTGTGGATGATGGTCTAATACATGTGGGAAAGTATTGAAGTCATGATCCCTCACTTCAACTAACTGGTAAATGACTGAGGGATGTGCATGAAAATAAATATTACATTTGACTCCAAAAAAAAGAACATTATTGTGACATCACCTCTGATGTTGAGCTTTTAGAAAGAGTCCCCATGTTTGCAGGACTTAAACAGAACATGAAGAGAACTGGATTTCTTCATGATTGAAATCCTCTATAGTCCTGACATGGCTTTTTATTCCCCTTATTTGCGGCTCCTCATTTATAATTGGTTTAATTTAATGTAATCGAATCAGGGAAGGTCTGAGTGTATTCAACATACGCATCCTTTACATTGCTGTATGTGCATGAGACATTTTAGAGTTCAAATTATTAAGACAGATAATAGAACCATCTATAAACATGCACCAAACCAATCAGACATCACCTCTTCAATCACTTAAAACCTTCTCTTTTCTTCTGTTTTCCATTGGATTTAAAATGTTCCATCAGATTATTTATCCAAATCTTTTGAGCTTCACTGTATTTTTTTTAGAATCTTATTTAATTTGCTTATTTATCATCTTGTTTTCCACTTCACTCGGGCTCATTCACCTGTTGAGAGGTGCCTGGAAGAAAAAACAACAACTCTCCTCCTGCGCAAACCTCCATTTTTTTCCCGGATAAAAAAGACATGAATTCATCTGTTCTCACATGCAGGGAGAAGAGGCTGAATATTCGTTGTTATCCCTCTCCGGTCTGTGTTTCTGACGGTAAACGCGGGCCTCCCGGTGCCCATTACCGGAGCTGCCAGATGATCGGTAGCGGAATGGAGGTCCCGCGGGAGGCTGAGCACGTGGTCTCGGCTGCCACAAGACGTCAGCGGCAGATGGCACGGGTACCCGCTGCTGGCATGAGTGTCATTCCTCAAAGAGAGAGAGAGAGAGAGAGAGGGAGGGAGAGAGAGAGGGAGGGAGAGAGAGAGAGAGAGAGAGAGAGAGAGAAAGGGGTTGGGTGCGTATGTTTAAGCTTTTCCTCTAATTTGTGGTTTGCACGAGAAGAAGCTGCAGCTCAGATTCACTGGAGATATTTGGGATCATGCAGGGCGCACGCTGACCAGAGGTGAGAACACATCATGTTGTTTCAATGCTTCTGTGTATTTTATTCAGAGTTAAACACCCTTCAAATGTTTGGATGATTCTATTCTGCACTTTGGTTGAAACAAACCCGTGGTGGCATCACAGAATGGTTGGAAAGTGCAGAGACAGTGAAGTTGAGCGTCTTTAAACTGATGTGACATTGGCCTTGGTTTGTTCCTCTTCCTCTCACAAGGTAATAAACTGACAACCTTCAGAAGACAAGGGTGTGTGCTCTGTGTTTAAACTTGTTCTTTTTTTTTTTTTGCTCTGATCTCTGTAGGAAATATGTTGACACTGCCATTCGAGGAACCTCACTTGATGTGCGAGCCGCGGTTCGGTGCCAATTATCCCCGAGAAAGCTTACCTGAGCGCCTGGAGCAGGAGCGCCAGCACAACCTGGAAAGGTCCAACTCAGCAATGAGGGAGGCCGAGGACGACCTCTCCGACCGAGAAGAGGACGAGAGGGAGGACGACCAGGACGAGGACGGGCTCCCTAAAAAGCGAGGCCCCCGGAAAAAGAAGGCCGGCAAAGAGCAGGTGGACAGGGTCAAACACCGGCGCCATGAAGCCAACGCCCGAGAGCGCAGCAGGATGCACGGCTTGAACGACGCGCTGGAGAGCCTGCGTAAAGTTGTGCCGTGCTACTCCAAAACTCAGAAACTGTCCAAGATCGAGACGCTGAGACTGGCTAAAAATTACATCTGGGCCTTGTCAGAGACTCTGAGCGCAGGGAAGAGACCGGACCTCCTCGCCTTCGTACAGACTTTGTGCAAAGGATTATCTCAGCCCACGACCAACTTGGTGGCCGGTTGTTTGCAGCTGAACGCGAGGAACTTCCTCACAGACCACAACGGAGAGGTCATGTTCTCCGGCAGGTCGCCCTACGACGCGATGTACTCGTACCCCGGCTCAGACGTGAACACGCCCCCGGGCCACAGCGGCGGTAACTTGGACAGCAGCGCCAAAACGTTCCGGCACTACAGCTACAGCGGCGCGTACGAGCACTACTACGAGAACCCGTCCCCGGAGAGCGGGAGCCCGCATTTCGACGGCCAGCTGAGCCCCCCGATGAACTTTAACGGGATTTTCTCCATGAAACACGAGGAGCCGCCAGACTACAGCAAAAACGGCCACTTCGGCGTGCGCTACTGCGGTGGGCCAGGGCGCACGGCTCTTGCGCACAACTCCATGTACCGCGTCTCCCCAGAGGCCCGTTTTCCCTACGATCTGCACGTCCGCAGCCAGTCCTTCCAAGCACAAGGGGAAGTTAATGGCTCTTTCCACAATTAATCAATCAGCTGGACAAAGTTCAAGTTTCAGAAGCGATGCAATTTCCCCCGCGCAGATGTCGAGAGTGGAACGAAATGGACTCCTGGTGCACTGCAAAAAAATCCCCATTTTAACGAGTCATTTTCATTTAGATGTTCAGTCTTATTTAAATAAAAGAAAACGTGGTAAAATCGAGCAAATTAGATGCGATGATGCCACTTGTTCTCAATTCTTGTGCAACTAAATGTGTGTCGATGCGAGGCAGAGAAAAGACACATCACAGGAATTCGAAGCAAAAGCAGTAAAATGATCTGAATGTGAGGGAAGTTCCTCTGATTCGATTTAAAAATAAAAAAGATTCAATGTCAAAGTGCCACATATTTGATTTAAACGAAAATCTACAACAACTCAAATGGAGAATCATTTGTTGAAGATGCAGGTTAACAGCCACAGTGAATTCATTTATTATAATTGTTTGTTTATGGCAGACCTGCAGATATTGACATGTTTAACTTATATTAAATAAAATTACTAATTCGAGTCAAATAAAAAAAACAGTAAATACAACAACCGGAGAGGAAGAATCCAGAGGTTTCACTTCACCGCTGAAGTTTTCTGAGACATGATTGGACTTTAGAGATTCACTCTGTTAGCAATAAAGGTCAATTGAGCTATGCAAGGCAGCTAAATGCAATCTTTGCTTGTAAAAAAATGATTTATGTCTATTTCCTCAAGGCGTTTCTCATCATCTAATATCTAATTAAAACGATGACAATTACACGACATTAATTATGAGGAGAAAAGGAGACGTGCATGTGTTCAGGAGACCTGGATGATGTCATGTGATGAATTGAAGTTGTGAGGGGGGGAAAAGGTAAAAAATATTAAATGCATTTGTATTTGGAGTAAATAGTGTGGTGACGAGGTGAATATGAAATTATTATTATTGTATTTATTTATTTATTTAAGCTTATTTATAACAAGTCCGTCAATTTGAATGTGGATAATATATTATAACAAAAAAAAGATATTGTAAAATTCAACAGTGTGACCTTTAATGTGGATTTCCCATAACATTGAAAGTTTGTTTATGTTTCATTGTATATTTCACTGCAGCTGAAAGTCGAGCATTGGAAGTGAAAAGATTTTATTTTATTATTAGTATTATTATAATTTGTGCGTGAGGTGAACACCATGTTTCAAAAACTATTTGAATCCGATCAACATGCCTTAAAAAAAAAGGAGATGACGACCACTGACCAATATGCAACGAAGTTTTTGGGATAGTTTGATGTGAACTTTTTACACTGAGGAGCGACTGTGATGCACTTCATGTCTTTCTGCACAATGTTGGTGACTGTACTCACATAAACCCTGTTGATTTTGTAACTTTACCCGTATGACGAATGATTTCTGATTTATTTCATATCTCACACACACACACACACACAGACGCACACACTCCTGTGGAAACTCGTTATGGATCGAAATACTCGTGAAGTAATGTGTTTATTGTTTTTTGTGAATGTGCTTTTGTCGCAATAAAATGAAGAGGCTGCTTCTCAGCTTTCTGTGGAAATGATCGACTGCAATTTAAAAAAAGAAATAAATTGTTTAAAAAAAATAAATCAAGGTAAAATTCCGCGAGCATAATCTCATTTATCTTTATTTATCCATCTATCAGAAATACATCGTGAGACCTGTATAGGAAACAGACACGAAGAGAAATGAGATGCATGCAGAGAAAACGATGTCATGAATAATATCATAAAATGTTGAGGTGTCAATTCATAGAAAGACATTTTAATCACATATAATTAACCAAAATAATCAAACCTAATTATTTTCTATAGACACAATGTCTAAACTTCACCTCAACTTGTTTTTTTTATTTATTCAAACAGATGATATTAAATTATAAACCTGTATGAAAAAATGTGGTGCGCTCCTGCAGAAATTCTGTAAATGTAAAAGAGAATAGTGGGTAAACATGTGATTAGATTTCGGATGATCAGGTGGATGATTTGTGTGAGATGCCCACGAGGTGTTGGATGTGATCCAGAGAGCTCAGACAGTTGATCCCAGTCCTCACAGTTCCAGAGAGAAGAGCTGCTCCCTGGAGATCTCTCTGTTAGTTGGAGGGAGAAACCATCACTGGCTCCAAACACTGGAGTCACTTTGTTTCCTCAGTATTTTCAGACACTGACTGTGAGGAGAATGAGATTAAATGAAGGGGAAAATCACTTCTCTCTCTTTTTTTGATTTGTGTAATGTTTTGGGACTAGTGAGAGACAAATTCAGAGAAGCAGAATGTTTAATAATTTAATATATTAAAGTGTAAACTCAATCAATCAAGAGATTAAGTTAATGTGTGGAATAGGTAGTTTATTTGTGTGTTATTATTTTATTATTGATCAGGTGCTGAAGGAGATGCTCACACACACACACACACACACACACACACACACACACACCATACTATGACCAGATTAACTTCACTTTAATCCAAGTAGCTGAATCTCCAAATCATCCTTTTATTTCTACACTGGAGCAAATGTCTCCATGTCAATCAAACTGATTCCAGACAGAAACGTGCAGCCCCCTGTGACATGTGAAGAGATGCAGCCCCTCACTCATCTTCTCCAGATCTGGAAGTGAGAACATTCTCCTGTCTGTGAAAAGACGCTGACAACCTGTTTGTAATTTCATGAGGTTTAACAGGGGGCCTGGCCAGTGTGTCATTAGTTTAGGAAAAGCAGCTTCACCTTTACAACAATAACTAATGTGCTGATCACATTACACCTGACACCTCAGGAAACCTAATATCTCCACCAGGGCAACAATTTATCCTCATGTCTTTGCTGCAGCTGCACCCAGAGCAAACTCGTTTACTCAGCACCAGACAATTTTAAATATTGATTAATATTGTTTTGCCAGCTAATGAGCAAAACACAGATTTAGAGCTGTAAATCATCATTATCAAATCCTCTCTTTAATTAACTGAACACAAAAAGTCATTTCAGGGCTGTGACACTATGATGTTGGATTATCATCATCATATCTGTTCCATTGTGTTTACAGAGGAAAATGAAATGAGGATCAAATCTTCAAGTTGAATTTGTTGCATTAAAAAAGTGTCAGAAAGAAGAAAGTCAGAGTTTTCCTGGTTGAAGCTTCTCTCAGGAAACATGGATCAGGTTTTATTCTGCGGAGATCAAACAAACCAGAAAACAGCGAATTGCACAACATCTCTTTTCTTTTTTTAAAAATTTTAATTCGTCCATCTACACAACTGCTAATGATTCCAGACTCTGCTGGGACTTGTCTGCTGTTGATTTAGATCAGGAAATAAATGTTGCTTCTGGTGATTTGTGTTTCCGGCAATCAAGACGAGGAATATTCAGCTGATCCGGGAAAAACCAGCCCATTCCCTCACTCAACCCTCTCTCCCTCGTTCCAATCGTAAAAACCAGGGGACCAGGTTGCTGGGGGTCCCTCTGGGGCTTTAAAGCACCTCTTTAGCCCCCCCACCCCTCACTCCGCCACCCCCTATTTGTCCCATTCACAAGAGATTCTCACCTTGTCAGTCTCGCTGCCTCTCCCTCCTCGCTGTGAATATATGAGCGCACATGTGTGTTTTTGAGGGGTTCAGATCCCTCTTGGGGCCTCGCGTGTTGGAGGAGGAGGAGGAGGAGGAGGCGAGGATGGAGAGAGGGGGTGGTTTCACACCCACGGGGTCCACGGGGCGGCATGCGACAGTTTAGCACGAGGTCAAACGTGTACACGCACCCCTACATTCATGCAGCTCATTAAAGGGATAGTTCACCCCAAAATGAAAATTCACTCATTATCTACTCACCACTGTGCTGATGGAGGGGTGAAGTGTTTGAGGCCACAAAACACTTTTTGGAGTTTCAGGGCCAAACAGCATTGCAGCCAAATCCAATTCAGATTGAAGTTAACGGCCACCACATGTAAAAAAAACAAAAACATTAAATGCCTCGTACTGCTCCTGGTGTCATCCAAGTGTCTGTGAGCTCTGACATAAAAATTTAAGTTGAAACAGCATCATTTACACCATGTTTCAGTCCTTTGTTATCCTTCTCTGGAGCCGCATTCGCACATAGATCACAGCGGACATTTAGACTAAAACACGGGAATGATGCCGTTTCAAGTTGAATTTGAATGTCGGGGCTTGCAGACACTTGGACGACACCACAGAAGCAGTTTGGAGGCATTTTCTCTTTCCCACAGATTTTATCGGTTGTTTTTTTTACGCTTGAAGAAGTGGTTGCCATTTACTTTCAACATTTTGCACAATCCATCCTCTCATAGCATTTTTATATTTAACTTTGGTTTCCTTTCATATATTTTTTTATATTTATACTTGCACAAATCCACCACAGCAAATTCATTATATGTGTAAACCCACTTGGCAATAAAACCCAGTTCTTATTACTTTCATTGTATTGTATTTGGCTGCAACACTGTTTACCCCTGAAACTCCAAAAGTGTTTTGTGGTCTCAAACACTTCACTGCACCACTTCATCGACATAGTGGTGAGTAGGTAATGAGTGAATTTTAATTTTTAGGTGAACTATCCATTTAAACTGGGTGGAGAGAGAGAGAGAGAGAGAGAGAGAGAGAGAGAGAGAGAGAGAGAGAGAGGGAGCATATGGCCCAGCACTGTGTGGGAGGTGAAGGACAGGAGTGGAGGATACGTATCGTATAGAGGTGCATTCACAATCTGAGATGTGGTGTCACCGTTACTGCAAAACAAACACTGTGTTTCTGTGGGGAAAGTTTCACAGGCGCAGTAATCAGCTCACAAGTTGACGGAAAGTTTTGCGCAGTCACCAAACGCAGCGCAGTTGTATTTCTATGTATTTTACTTTGTGATATATTATGATAATTTATTGTAATCAGGAGCCTCTTTTCTCTGCGATGTCTGAAAGAAAGAGCACCAGTCAAGAAAAAAAATGAAAATAATGTTCCCCCACCATGCACGTCGGCAAGCCTCCTCAAATTTCGTGCCATTCCCAAGCCCCAGATGGTGTGGGATGGGAAACGTTCCCCCATTAAATTCCTAATAATCATTTCTCCTGCGGAATCGGGGGTGGTGGGTGGTGGAGGAGGGTGGGGGGTGCGAGAGAGTGTGTGTGTGTGTGTGTGTGTGTGTGGCTGGGAAGTGAGGATTGGGTTGGTGGGTGAGGGGAGTAGAGGGATTTGGTGTTTTAATTAGACAGATTTAAGGAGCTGAACCCCCCCCCCCCTCCTCAAAGTGTGTGTTTGTGTGTATGTGTGTGTGTGTGTGTGTCAGTGCAGAAACTCCGCATCATTTGTACTTGTGTTTCTCTGGGTGCACGTGTGAAAAAAATTACACATATGAGTAGAGACGTGCATGTCTGTGTGTGTGTGTGTGTGTGTGTGTGTGTGTGTGTGTGTGTGTGAGTGTGCTGCGGGTCATGGCAGGGCTGATGCTGCAGTGGAGGAGGCCTGACACTCACAGTACTATGGGCCAGGATCTCATTAACGTGTCAGATTGGTGGATCAGTCTCTCTGGCAGCCGGCCCAGCCTCTCACAGGAAGTACTTTCTCTCTATCTGTGAACTTGGCACTGAAAGGTTAGTCTGGGGTGGGAGGGAGGGAGGGAGGGATGGATGTGGGGGATATATTGGCCTGGAGGAGACGAAGGCATTAATTATAATATTTGGTCAGATTGGATAAATATTGGGTGAGGGATCGCGGTTTAAGAGCTACTTTTATCAGTCGGATAAAGTGGCGATTAATGAGTTCGGAATAGTGGCGCTGCTGATTTCCATGGAGGGATGGAGGCACGTCAACTCCTGCAGTTGCACTATTTTGGAGGTGGAGATATGCTAAGTATGTGACAGGAGCATCTGTCACTACATCACCTTTGTGCTCTGTGCTCTTTGTCTGTAGAACTGCTCCGACTGGTGAATGCATATGTGCGTGTCTGTGTGTGTGTGTGTGTGTGTGTGTGTGTGTGGCTACATCATGAGACAGTATAGGGTGGGTTCTGGAGCAGGTGGGAAGCATAAAGGGGTGTGATCCTCTGACACCCCAGCAACACCCTATTTCAGGGCAGACTGTGCTACTGGGTAAGGTGGTTTCAAATCCCTCGACTGTGAATGTGAGCATCTGGTCGTCATGACTCTAGTGTGGCACGTGAGGGACAGACAGACAGACAGACCCACAGTCAGACAGGTTTAATTCGTGCATCATATCTGTGAGCACTTCTTCGTCCACAACTGTACGATCATTGAATGAAGGGTTATTATTATTCTATTTCTGTATTCTAGAAACATGCTCACTTTATGCACAGATGAAGAAACACTTTCAAGTAATCCAGGGATGCCTCATGTGTGGATTTGTGGACAAAAGGGATGAAATTATACTTTTGATGAATGTATGATTATTACATCGTCATCATGGACATGTGCAAAATTAGCAGGACACCCAGAAGAGAAGAACAGTCCTCAGAAACTCAATCAAGCTTCACCAAGAGGCACATTTATAGATATCAG